GTAGTTCACACTGTCTGAGAAATCAGTATGTAGCCCAGGTTGGCCTTGAACTCTTGATGATCTTCCTGTCTCAGCTTCCTGAGTGCTGGCACACTGTTAAAACCAATTTAATTATGAAACAATATGAAGGAAACAAACACACTACCTAACATACAGTAAATGCTGAATGAACACCTGAGTTCAATCTAAATAAATGTGGGGTTAGAGATCCTGAGACTGTGACCTAGGCTGGTGCCCAGTGTCAGACCTAATGCCCACCCGACTGAGATCACCCAAATACACCTCAGAGGTACTTCCCAAAGAAACCTTCAGGCTATTTCCCTCTTTAATTAAAAAAACAAACAAACAAACAAAAAACTCCTCTGACAGCAAGCTGGTGGAAGAAAATGAACATACAGAGAAAGATCCAGAATGATGTGATTCAGAGATAGGCGAAGAAAGCAAAGATTAGCAAGTCAGTGAGAAATTTCAAAGCTGGGCGTTTATGGCATGCGTGTTTAAAAATAAGCACATTAGTGGCAGATTAAACAAAGCTTACTTCATTTCCTGGAGCCTAATTTAAGAAGAGGCCAAACAGCATCTTGTCCAGGCTGGTGGCTAGTGAGGTGGAGTCCTGCAACCCTGGCTGCAGACCCCTGAGGCGCTTCCTCAGCGAGAGAGGCAGAAACAGGGCTCCCTGCTACACTTCCCCACCACCACTCCACCAGGAAAATCCCTTACCTGCCAGCAGCATGGGTGAGCACAGTGCAGGCTAACTACACCTCTGTTTAACAGTAACAGAAAATATTGCATACAAATTAGCTGAGGGCAGGGACTACACAGCATTTTACTTAACTGACACTGTCAGTCCTACATTATGCTTTATCCCTAACACTTGATACACAGTAATTGTTCAAACCAACAACAAACATGCAAGTGACTCTACCTAACTTCAAAACTAACCTGTGAAACCGTGCAGGTCCTTACCATGAGTAAACACTTGAGTGGTGGGATAACTACTAAAAATATTTTGTTCACTGGTAGGGGCTTTAATTACAGGTAAAAAGAGTAGGGTAAAACTAGCCAACTTAAATTTCACAGGGATAACTACATAGAGCTACGTGTGTAGTACCAAAATGCCACTGTATAAGTACAAGATAGGAGACATGAGGCTGGGGACACATGAGAGAGGAGCTCGAGGAAGCAAGGCGGTATGTAAATCTGAGCCAGCCAGGAGCTCCTTAGGAGCCAGCATGTAGCTCCTACTGTGTGACCAGATCCATGTCATTCCTGGCAAGGCAAGAGGCCATGCCAGTCTGTCCACGCTGGGGATCTACAGGACCATAAACTCTTAAAAATTACGTAATATATTTTTCAGTATTATTCTTAAATATTACCAAGATACTTCCAACACTTTCTCATATAAAAGCAAGCAATTTCCTGAGAGCTGTTCAGACAACTATAAACTGTTTGGGCTACTCAGAAAGTCGCACTGATGAAAGACCTATTGGCAAGATCTTGGCCTTTTGTTATGATACGGCCAAAATGTGAACATATGTTAATTTCACAATCATGCATTTGTTAGGAATCATCCATTTCTGCACTGTAGTAAAGCCACAGAAGTGGGAGGGAAGGTGTCCTAAAGGGGAAAATGACTTACTTGTAGTAAGAATGACTGAAGAATTCACTGTGGTCTCCCCGCACTGCACATGCCACGCAGGACCTGTGTCTCCACACCAACACTCCGTGCACCTGCCTTGTTTTCACAGGCGGTGTTCAACACAACTGGACTGTGTAGCATTCACCCCTGTCCTGGTCAAATTTCCAGTTTAAATGGCATTAAGAAGCTGTATACATTAGCTAACCCTGAGGATCGCGGATAGAGAGGATGTACAGCGACCTCTGGCCCCACCATTGAGACACCAGACATGCTGGACACCTTACTCACTTAACCTCTCTGCAAACGAACGGGGAGACACTGCTGCCTGGTGTAACTGCAACAAGACATCTGCAAACTGGCACGTCAACTTACTCTTTCTAGAATACTGTTAAAAACTGGATGCACTCACGAAGCCTGGCCAGCCATTCACTACTGTTGTGCGGATGCACGGGACTAACACCTTGTGCAGCAGCCTCCTCTAGGACTGTTAATGCAGACAGGTCTGCACTACCACTCACAAAGCATTCATCTAATACCTGCAAATAAATATCAAAATACAAGTTCTCCAAATGGTCAACAGTCTTCACTCTAAAAGACAAAGTGACCCATTGGCCAGTGGACTTCATTATCTGCATAGGACTGCGTCTGCCCTTCTGTCGAGATCAGCAGTACTACAGGTGGAAAAAAATAATTAAAAATAGAGGGCCACCTCTACACAGAAAATAAATGCTACAGAAATGTTTTAAATGTTTTGTTGAAAAATAATTCAGTCTGCCAATATAGCCTCATGCTATATTCAGTCTTTCTTCACATGAATGAGTAACAAATGAAAATGAACAGAGTGTAAACCACGCAGATTAATTTCCCCATCTCCTTAAGGCTCTCAGCAGATGAACAGCTATTCATACTACTTCAACTATCCATACAGACTAAGTTATACTTTAAGACCATTAACTATGTCCACGCTGGTATTTAAAAACCACAGATAAAACCGGAATATTTAATTGCATATACAGACCCTTAACAATGGTCAGATTTGCTATCAGCCGGCCGGATGAATCATGTTCACGGGAAATTACCTCTCCTGGATGTGCCACAAAGCTGCACCTCTACCAACATGTGACTACAAATGAAAAGAGTAAGGTGTTTCATTTACGCATTCTACAATGAACCCCCAGGACTTAAAGTGGAATAAGACAAGAAACAAGAAACATTTACTTATTCTGCCACTGGCCCCTGAGCCCTTAAACAGGATCAGACAAGAAACTACACATCACAGATGGATTTTGGAATCATTCTGGCCACGTTAGCACTGTATCAGAACAAAACAAAATCTAGTGGTCATCAGTGGGAATGTCTACTGGAAGACTCCCTTAAAAGAAAACATGAAAGAAAACCTACTTGCCTGATGGGCAGGGTTTACTAGGAAATAAATGGGTTTTCCTCCAGGACACAAAGCAAAATATACTCTGCTGGGTTAAAATTTTAAAATATACACTGCTCAATACAGTGGTCTTATAAAACTAAAAACGAAAATTGAATACTAAGAAGATATGAAAACTAAACCCAACCTCTGACAAACAGTAAGTTTTGTTTTTGTGGTGATATACACCTATAATCCCAGGACTCTGGAGGCTGAGGCAGGAGGATCACTGCAAGCTAGAGACTAATCTGGACTACACAGCAAGATCCTGTCTAAAAACCAAACTAAAACAAACAAACAAAAAAAAACACAAATAAATATGTAAAAGCACACTTTGGATGGAAATGAGGCATTGATTACAAGGAGAAATTTCTGTAAGTGAACAAAGATGCCTGAACCCACATGGTGCATACAGAACATCATGGGGGTCTGGGGCTTCCTAGGGGCCCTGTAGGCCAGAGTGGGTGGACAGTGTTGCACAGCTCTGTGCTCTCAGCTCTGTGCCCAGTGTGCCTCTGCCTTAGCAGTTGAAGTGCAGGGAGCGTAGGTAACAGTGAGGGAAGCCAGCACTGAAGCCCTGGCACAGGCAGAGCAGGTGGATAGAACACTACCAATGGCAGCACCTCCGTGTGGACACCAAGCAGCCAGCAGGGGGAAAGCAAACCGAGACATCAAAGGCAGAACAGGTCTGTGGAAAGCTAGTGAGGAGAGCGGGGAGAAGAAAGAAGCTTTAAATCCATTTCTGGGATGGCTGATTTATTTTGACTCATTTTTATATTTTCAAATTAAAACAATTTGTGGCAGACTGGATTACCCAAATGGCCACTGTTGAAGAATGTTATCAAGATGAATTACAATGATCATCTTTTTTTGGAGGGGGTGAGGGATCAAGGAGAGAAGGGGACTAAAATATATTAGCAGAAGACCAAAATCGATTTTCTAAGATTATCCAAAAGACAATAGTTATACGGTGATACACACTTGAAAAAAATTGCATAAATATCAAAGATTTTATAGGTCCACACAATCACCTCAGTAGGTAAAGGAAATCAAAGAACTTTTCAACAGGAAAAAGGTTTCAAAAATAAAATTCCCAAACAAGAAAATGCTTTAAAGAAGAAATACTAAGTAAGTTATTTAAGAATAACTATCTAGCAAGTGTGATAGGATGACTGCTAACTAAGACAATTAATGTATTAAGACATATGTATTTCATGTAAACCATTTTGAAATTCTAATCCCATCCAAATTTAGCTTAACATCTCATTTCCTCCAGGGACCTATGAGGAAACTGAACCATAAGAAAGGGAAGTGAGGAAAGTAGAAACTCAGACAAAAATGAAAGGTCAGGACTGATTCATGGCAGGCAACCATGCCCAAATTGAGAGGGTGTCCTCACACTAATGCTCTGCGGACAGCATCCTCAGGTCAGCAATCATTTTGCTACAGGGGCCCTGTGGCTTCTTTTTCACTATGTTTGCAGACTACAAAGCCAGTTCTGGGTAGAAAGGTCCATGGACAGATATCAATTAGACAGGCTCACACGTGGAGATCCATACCATGTCAGAGTTCTAATTAGGCACCAGTTTTGGACTTGCCAAGCCCCACAATGACATGAACTTCTGTTAAAAAAAAAAAAAGTCATCAAATCTCAGTCCCCCTCTCTCATTCTCCCCTCTCCCTTCTCTTTCCCATTACTTTCAAGGACCCTAACACACCAGGCAGATAAAATCTGAAGAAGCAGTAAAGCAACATTCTAATAGCATGGATGCCAAAGTATGGTGTAAGGTCCTCTGAGAATCCTCAGCAACTCTTTCAGGCAGTTCACAAGGTCAAAATATTTTCATGTAATACTAAAATATTATTTGTGCTTTTCGTTATACTAATACTGTGCCAAAGTGCAAAAGCACAACTAGGTAACATGGGTGGAATTCTTACCATATCAAGGCAGCAGTGAGCAACTGGGCACCATACGGTCTCTGCAGTCTTCACCATATACCAGAGAAAACAAAAGCCAGGGTCACTGCAGTGTCCTTGATCAAGCAGTAACCACTCCTAGTTCTATGATCTCTCAACCCTTTAGGACAGGACTTTCTAAGATTCTGCATGATAAAAAGGGAGAGGCATGCACATCCACAGCTGAAAGGGATGATGCACACAATTACTTGAGTTTGGGGTGAAAGCTGGCCCCTTTTTCCATAGGACTCCATTTTTACTTGAAAACACGAACGAACAATTGACTATATCTATTTAATTCAGGCTGCACAGATCTTTCACTCCCTCCTCCCACCCCTCCCTCACTTCCTTTCTTCCATGCCCCCCCTTTTGCATTTTGGTGCTGGGTATTAAACTGCACATCTCAAGTGCCCCACAACCAAGCTACATCTCAGCCTGGTTTTTTCTTAAAAATGATTTTTCTGTTTGAAGAAAAACCGTGGACTTTATTTTGTTTGCTAATGATAAAATGCAAACTTTCAAGTGAATGCTTGTGGTCTGGAAAACCTGTATCTAACAATGGGAACATGAGCACTTTCTGAGAATGCAGACCCCTTTTAAAATAAAACAAACAAATGTGAATTTTACACTGGACAATGCCAGTGTAAAATTCAGACACCCACTTAACTCAGGGACCAATGAATGTGAAAATATCATACATAAGTAGAGACATCATTCAACACGCAAGTAAGACCAATAGGTTTTAACAAAAAGGGAATAATTCAATGATACAGTTTTATGCTTCTCATTGCAACTAATCTTTGTGAAATCATCATTTCTTGAATTTTGGTGTTATCTACCAAAGAACATACACAATTTTATGTTTGTTTGTTTGTTTTGATTTTTTTTGAAGCAGAGTCTCAATATATAGTTCAGGCTGGTCTTCGAACTATGTAGCCCAAACTGGCCTTGAACTCAAAATGATCTGCCTGCCTCAGCCTCCTGAGTACTGGGATTATAAGCATGAGCCACCACACCTGGCAACTTTGTTTTTAAAAACCTGTTAAAACGTGCTTAGTTTTTCCAGCTACTCTACGAGAGACCAGATTTTCTTCATTTATTTCACACACTTCAACCAGAAGAGCATAGCATAATAAAATGAAGAGAGAGAAAAGTATTAGAATCTACTTGCTTCTCTTAGGCCAACTGTTAAACATATTGGCCAAAGTAGAAAACACTATCGCCCTTCTTAAAACCTTTTTGTTTTATAAAATAGCTACTTTTCCTTTAAAAGAATTTTGATGATAATGTGTAATGGGCTTATTAGTCATTTTAAGTGAATGAGTGAATGAATGAATACGTACTTTACAATTTTCCAGTCTCAACTTCTAACATGGTAAATAACAACACAGGTAAATGCACAGAAGCAAAAGCTCCCCGGCAATCCTGGAAAGCTTTCAGCAGTGCATAGGAGGTCTGAGGACTGCTACGACCAGGAGGTGCCCAGCCTTGCCCTTCCTGAAGAGCACATCGAGGGACCACAGGGTCCACCCACACAAAGGCTGCTCTGCCCCAGCCCTACACACTACCTACCAGGGAGGAGCGCAGCGAGGAGACACAGGATCCACATGGTGAAGTGCTCGTTACTGATGCCCACTGGCAGGGCCCCAAGGGTGTTGAGTGTGGAACACGGACAGAGTTCTCCATGTGCCAATTGTGTGGGGACACAATATTGTATTATGAGTTAACACATGACAAAGTATCCTTTTCCTAAACATTTTCCCAGTGCTTAAAATTCACATGAGTCACAAGGTTTCTTTAAGGTTCTGTTTAAATGTTTAACAAAGAAATGGATAGAAAGTAGAAGTGAACTGACAATCAGTGACAAGAAAATGGGACACTGAGATTTTCGCTGTATTCTGTTACACTCGTCCTGGGTTACACCAACCCACAGGTTACCACTGATCACTGCTGTCCTACACAGGAGTGAAGAGCAAGATGACCTGAGGGTCTCCTCTTTCATTCCCAAATCTTCCTTCCCCCCTGAGTTACTCCACCGCTTACCAAGCCTGCAATCCCTGACCTCACTGACGCCTCACTCTCTCTCCCCTGAGCCAGGCATTCCAAATCACACACACACACAGACACGACACACCTGCCCTGTCTCCACAGAGAGGCAAGATGTGAGGGAGGAAAAGAGGCATCTGAGTCCAGAAGAAATTGCTCCAATACAAACAATTATTCATTAAAGGCTTTTTTCCCTTTTGAGTTATTTTTTCCAAAATGTCTTTAAAGTTATTTTTTAGCCCATGTGAAATTTTAATGACTACAAAGCCTGCTAGGTACCCTGTGAAGTGGGTATGTTCAAGTCAATCCAAAGGTTACTACTGATGTATCCAACCCTAAAAACCACATACCTAATGTGGCTAAGATGTATGCTTAATGACAGGAAAAGTTTACTCTTCATTAGTTAATAGTGAAACTCTAGTATGTTACTGAGCTATAATAGGAGATAAGTTTTTAAGACAATAAGGAAGGAATTTTACATATTTACATGTATTTAAATACATAAAACATTTAACAGGTACTTTTTAATTCAGTTAATATAAACTATTAAGATATTCTTTTCACAAATGACTTCAAATCTAGTATCGGTACATTCTAGGAAATGCCAGAATTTCATCCAAAAGTTAAAAAATATTTTCTAGTTATTACTAATGTTTTAGCCCTGGATCTAAAACCAAAAGAACATTTTTAATTGATCAGTATTGCAACAAGAAAAATAGACGATTTCAACTGAAACTAATGTAAAAAGATCAACTCCCCACTGGTAGGAAACAGACTTGAATATCAAAGTCAATTTTTCCAAGGAAGAGAAACATTTTTCAAATCACCATGGGATTCTGGAACATCTCATGACGGAAAAAAGAAAAAAATCACACCCTATGACGGGAAACAGTGGAAGACAGGAAGGATCCTTGCCGCTGCAACCGAAAGCTGAATTTTAAGCAAGTATACTAAAAACGTGCACAGGCAGAGAGCTGCCCCTTCCCAGGAGAGGAGGCTGAGCGGCACCGATCTTTGTGACAGACAAAGTGCTTGCAATACCACACGCCCGGCTGCACACCGCCCTGATTACTGCCCATTCCCCAGAGCAAACCAAAGGCAGCGCCAATGACGACACCAACGCAAGGTTTCTCTCAAACCAGAATTAAAGAAAGGAAAACCCCGGCGGACCGGGGGTGTGTGGCAGCGATGACGTAAGGGATAAAAATAGACCTCCTGCCAGAGAAGCCCACGCGTGGGGAACAGCGCGCTGCGCGCGATTCCCAACTGCCCTGCGTGAGTTTGCAGCTGTTCAGAGCATGAGGACAGCATTCAGGTTTTAAGTTATTTCCTGATCTATACTGCAGCATCTGCCCTGCTGCTGTAGAGTTATTTCCTAACCCATATGTAAATTAAGCCAATATAAACATGACAAGGGCAAGAAAGAGAACCAGTCGCCAAAGTGAAGCGGTGCAGTCCAAGCCAGCTGTCCTCTTGGGCAGGCCCAGCCTGTCCGCGGGCGGGCGCTTCCAGCCAGGAGCAGCGCCCCAGGCCCAGAGAGGAGCAGGGACCTGCGCAGAGGAGCCGGGGAGCAGAGGTGCTGGAGACCGCGCTCCAAACTCCGCCCGCGCAGCTGTGAAGCTGGAGGGGCCGGCAATGCACAGCGCCTGGCAGAACGCTTGGGGTTTACCCGTGCACCTGTCTTCTGTAATATTCTCCCCATGTTCCCCTTCTTCCCTTGCGGCTAAGATAGTTTTACTTTTCTACTGCTCTCTCCAGGTTTACAGAACCACCTGCTTCAAACCCTCACACCCACACACACACCCCCAACTACCCCTGGAGCACTGACGGCATCCACAGGAGTCACCCAGGACTGGGCCAGGAAACGCACCCACCCACACCCAGCGCGGGGCAGCAGCCGAAGCGAAGGATCTGAGGCTCCCCACGGGTTTACGCTGTGAAACCTGATGCTTTCTGCCTTCCTCCCCAGCACCACCGGAATCCTGTGCCCTTACCCCTCCTCCTAACCGCGGGCTCAGGCCCCATTTCTTTCCCACCCTCTCACCTAAGGCAGGCCTGACAGTCCCGCCCACCACATGCACCACGCCTGCCCCGGCCTGGCGCCAGCCAGACCTCCGAGTCAGTCAGTCTCTTGAGTCAGTCAGTCTCTCGGGGTTCCTTGCAGCTCCCCCTGTGCCCCCCACAAACACTCAGCTTTCAACTGAGCTTCCATCAGCCCCAGGGTCTCGGAACCCAGGGTCTCGGAACAGCTACGCCCTTGCAGAGCAGAAGGGTTCCCACAGTTGAGAGCCCAGGTCTTTTGAGAGGTGCCGGATTGGCTCCCCAGGTCCAAGGGCACCCCCTCCCTCAGCTTTTATTGGATTGTATTCCTTGAGAGACCACAAGGTCACCAGGAAAGCAAGATTCCATTATCCGAATCTGGAACAAATCTGGAAAATGAGTATTTAATAAACATCTGTTAAATCAGCAAATATATACATATATATATATATATATATATATATATACATACATACACATATATACAAATAAATAGGGCTTTTCCTCCAAGATACAAGAAAAATGACACATATACTGCCTAAAACTCCATCCTCTTGTAATTCATGGAGACCCTGATGACACTACTGAAAACAAATGTTTTAGGTTCACTTACATAATCAAATACTTGATTAATTCTTATCTTAAAGGATGGAAATATTAAAATAACTATGGTATTTCCACTATGTACTGAAATGTCTTGAGCACATGAAGGCAGATTTATAGTTAAGTATATGAGTACATTATAGCAGGTGGGATATGAACTGAAGACCACGTCTGATGTCCTCATAAAGTTCCTAGACAGAGAATACGACCATTATTATATTACCTAAAACACATCAGCAGCAAACACTGAATTAAAGAGGCTTCAAAGTCATTATAGTAAATCTAAAAGTGAAGCCATGATGTGAGTGGACATACTGCCCCTTTCTACTTTAATAATTAGCCTGCCTAAAAGTTTAGTGTCAAATAAAGGTACATAATCACAGAAATGAAATGCTGTAATTTTTCAATAGCCAAATAGTTTTTGAAACTAACCCAAACCTACAAAATCCTTAATTGCAGAAAATAAAAAAATCTCAAAAAATAAATTACACAAATATACACAAGTATCAAACACAATATACACAATCATTACACAATATACACAAGTATCAAACCTCATATTTATCATTTTTAAATTTTAAAACATGGGAAAGCTTAAAAATTCCACTGTAGAGTTATCTATTTCCTAAGAATGGTGGTATCTTACAGAGGCCATTATAAGGACTCGTCTTATATAAATATCCTTATTAAGAAGGAACTGATTCTCAAAAGTCTCATACATGAATCATAATGTTGCATTATATTCAGTGTATTAAATCCACAGAACTCAATTTATATTACATTAATTTGATGCAATAACTTCTATTATGTTTGTGTATCACTATTTTGGTTACCTTTTTCTCATTGCACAAAATAGCCGATGCCCAAAATTATGGAAGGAAAGGTTTACTCAGTTCACAGTTAGTGGAGGTTTAGGTCTATAATCAGCTGGCTCCAAGGCAGGGTAGCTCATGGCACAGGGGTCACAGTTCATGGCAAAAACAGATACCAAAATCAACAAGAGCAAAAGACAAAAAGCAGGAACACAGAGAAGACTCTGTCCCTTATACTGCATGTGGGCTACTTACCCTACGGTGGGTGTAGCACAGCCATAATCCCAGCATTGTACCATGAATCAATCACAGATTCTAGAAGTCTGCCTCCACAACTGCATATGAGGCTTTGGGGGGACATCCAGACTCAAACCGTAATAGTCCCCAACCAAGAGCTTTAAACATACTGAAAAACTCAATACATATTTATTCAGCAATACTCTGAAGTATGTATTTCCATGGTTGAAAGAGACAACTAATAAAACGTTGGGTAAGTATTGTTTTAGACAACTGATTTTTTTTATACTGAGTGCAGTTTATGTACATGTTTTATCCTGGATTCAAATCCCCCTAACTCAGATCTGTTTAAAGTGGGGGGAGACAAGGAAAAACAGAGTTAAAGAGTCAATTAGAACTTCAACACAGAACAATGCCTTAATTTTCCAACCAGCCCAGGAAGACTAGATATAACCGAAACATCAGTCTGAACATGCAGCCTCCATGTTTGGACAGGACAAGTTTTCGTCCACTTTCCATGTAACGTTTCTCCGTGTGACTTTTGCTCTTTCCAAGCTAGAACAAGAGCTGTTTTCCACTTAAGTAAAGGGAAGAACAAAAGACAACAGAAGAGGTATCCAGGCTCCCCACATTCCCACCTGGTCCAAGTTAAAATGCTCCTCCCTCCCCTCCTCCAGCCCCACGCCCTCTCCACAGGTTTGGACTACAGAGTCCTGATTTCTCCAAATGCACAGACTTTTCCAAGAGGCCCCAGATTATGCAAAGAAGCTTTTTTCCCCCCCCAACTCTGCTGCAAATGCAGAGAAAAAGTACTGCTGGTCCAAGTCTCAAACAGGTCTCCTCAATCTTCCAAACCTCATTTGTCACCTGTCTCTCTAAGCCCCTCACCAGAAGACTAGAAATTCACACCACATCCTATTTCAGGGGAGGGGAGGCCTTCTTGAATGCATCTGCAACCTCCACTTATCAAAATGTAAGGCCCTGCTAAGGAAGGCAGCTCAAGTCTTCCCTCCTCACTGCATTTCTAATTGCTTATGCTCTCTGCAGACCTGCAGAGAGGCCTGGAAAAATGTCCTGAAACACTGGAAGTGGATATAGGAGAATTTACCATTCTCATCAGTTTTCAAATATCATCACAATCTGACTTTATAAAGAGTACATAAGGTACACATCATAGTGCACATTTTCAGTTTTAAATCAAAAATAGACTTACAATTTCCCATGTCAAAAAGGATAAATCACATAGTACTTTTAAAATATTAAATATTTTAAAAATATACTCTTTGCAGATCCAAGTTCAGAATATTGATGTCATTACAATTTCATATTAGAAAACATACAATTATCAGATCTAAGAATTAAAGAAACTTTTTTCAAATTTACATTAGCAGGGCTTCAGAAAAACAATACAATGATCACAACACTTGTGGAATATTGGCACATACTCTTTTAAGTAAAACATAAAGGAGTTCCCTATTTTAATCTGAAATATTACACCAATAGCTCATGCTTTTAAGGAAGATTGGCATATCAGCCAAGCATGTATTAATGTAGATTTCCTCAATGTGAATGGAATGACTCATGATCTTTTTCTTGTATCATAAAATGTTGGCAGTTAATCAACTACTTTCCAGAGATAAACTAGCTTTTATCCCTTAACTCCAAATTCCCTGACAACACCAAATTTGATCCAATTCCTAAGGATTAACTATGAAAAGCACTTATTAGCTAACACTGGAGTGAATGAAATGAGCAAAGACAGGATAGGCCTCTTAACTAAAATGTAGACTGAAGTAAAAACACGAAATCTGGTTAAAAGTCAAGTGCAAATACACAAACAAGATTTTAAACTCCTGTATTCATTTTACTAAGCCTTTTTTCTGACTAAAATTTGTCAGTGGACTCCCAACATGCTCTCACTTTGGGATTCCTAAACTTTACAGTGTTTATCTATAATGTCTGAAATGTAAATTTCTACTAAATTCCCTGTAAGCTTTCCTACAAAAAACAGTACAATTCCATGGTGTGCCCTGTCTTTTTCTGTTTATGTGCATGCAAGTTAGTGAAGAGCAGTGTCCACCCATTCTTAACAACAGCTTACACTTACATTCTCTCTCCAGAAAGATAAGCAAGCCATCTCCAGATCAGTACACAAGAAGCAACCTTCTAAAACCAGAGGCCTTCACAGGGACACAAAGGCCCCTTGAGGCCACAGTGTTAAGTGAAATGATCAGATGCACAAGCTTAAATATCGCACAACAAACTCCCTTATATGAGAACCGTAAAATATAAATAGAGAGCAAAACAAAAGATAATGGGAGGTAAGGAGAGCTTTCTCAAGTAGAAAGGGAAACAAGAGACAAGGGGGAGGGAGGAAAAAAAATGAGATTTTTTTAAAAAGAATTGAAGAAAAAAATGGAACTAGTGCTTTGACAGATGGAAAGGGGACCACAGTTGGAAGCGCAGGAGGAATGGGAGGAGTAGGGGATGAAAAAGGAGTGACGGTGTGCAGTGTAATAAACACTACACAACAACTAAGCCATGCTCTGCTAAACCACTCAAAGTTTTACATCTCACTGAATGAAAGCAGAATACAAAAGAACAAGAAGCAAGACACATCATATATTATACGCTCATTAGTCACAATGCAAACACACAAACTTAGGTTAGTGCCAGGAGACCACACATAAATTACAATACCTGAGATTTAGTGCATTCCTTTGAGCCACATGAAATGAGTGCCATAAAAAGAGGAAAGGAAAAGATGAACGTTACCAGACATGCTATATTACATTATCACTGCCGAAATGAAGGCAATGTTAAAATCAGGTTAAGAATGACCACACGGCATTGGCCACATGAATCCTGTTCTCTTAAGTTCTACTAGCCATGCACTTGCAATCACTTTAAGTCACCTGCTGAGTATGTACATGCACTCTTTTAAATGAACTTCCTACCCTCAGCCTCAACCTATTATCCAATTTCTGAAAGAGAAACATTTCTGCTAAGAATTTTAAAAAATGATTTAAGGCTAATGGTGAATAATTTTCATTTAATTTTTTTATTATATGGTATCAAACTTGCAAAATAAAATTATGCATTGAGGTAAAATAATAAGATATATACAAGATTTGTACCTTCAAAAAAAACTATTAAAACTTTCAATTACAATAATATTGCCACCAATCTTAACTCATTAGGTGAAATTAATACCAACATATCACATACCAGGACACTAGTATATAATCCATGAGTAATCAAGTTAAGAGTTTTCATCCAGCTGAGGATTTAGCTCAGCAGCATAAGTACCTGCCTGGCAAGCGGGCAGTCGTGAGTTCGATCCCCGGTACCAATAAAAAGGAAAAAGCAAAAAAAAAAAAAAAAAAGTCTCCATCCTAGCATTAAATTATCCCTAAAAGTCCTGTTGATCAGGTAATACACTGTCAAAGCCCATTAGTAAAAAAAATCCTGCAGCAATACAAAACACTATTCTTTTTTTTTTTTTTTGGTCTTTTTCCTTTTTATCGGTACCAGGGATCAAACTCACGACTGCCTGCTTGCAAGGCAGGTACTTATGCCACTGAGCTAAATCCCCAGCCCCTCACTATTCATTTTTTAAAACACCAAGAAAAGGGAAGCACACAGGGAAAGCAAATCAAGTGGTCCATAGTGGGAGGGATAGATGGGGGAGTTCGAAAACAACTCTCCCAGCTAAAGTGTGATGAATATGAGTATGAAATGGAACCAATCAACTTCAACACTGAATATGAAGTAATACATACTCCCTCTACCTCAGTTTGTAACTAATGAAGAAAAATAATTCCAAAGTAGAAGATATTAATATAGGCCAAAATATTATAAGCTATTTGCACTATTAATATGAAAAATTCTTTTAATAAACATTTCCTTCTTCTTCCACGATGCTAAATTAACACTAAAAATATACCTTCTTTAATGGACAGTGGTAACAAAAAACCTTTCATGGGTTTCTCTTTCTTTAAATACCAAGTTGAAGAGACCAACAAAGCTGTCTTTGTGGCAAGTAAAGAGCAACCCTTTCCAAATGAGCTCAATGAGATGATTCAGCTCTGAAAGTCATGTTAAATTAAGACAGTGCGTGGAGAGCACAAGAAGCAGTCAGGTCTGCTGTGGTCTGAACACATTTAATATTTACACACAAAGAGCTCTTTAGGAAAAAGAATATATGAAGAATGGACATGAAAATAAAGTTAACTAACCACTGAGTAACGTTTAAGTCTGCAGATATTTTCAATGCTTTCTGCATTTACATTTATTTCCAGGAAGAAAAGGAAAAAACTGAAGTGTAAAGTAGGTTATCAATGACCTACTTTCACTGCACCATGTATTTATTTTATTGTATCACGCAATGTGTAAGACAGCTGATCTCACACAGTATTATTCCTTTGTTTAAAACAAAGAAGGAGGAAAATAAGGCTCTTTATTGAATTTATGAACACTTCATTAATCTATGTCTTGGTTTCTTCAAACATAAGAAATTTATTAAATCTTCATTAAATAAATGGCAATAAAGCAGATTACAGCACGTAAGAGGAGCTTTAAATCAGTGAGAAGTATTTCACAGTGTCTTTACACTAGTCAGAAATCTCCCCTTCAGAGCTGACCCACATGGCTCACACCAGCAATCTCAGCACTCAGGCAACTGTATCAGGAAGACAGCAAGTTCAAGACCCGCCTGGGTAACTTAGCAACTCGGTGAGACTGTCTCAGAAACATAAAAAATAAAGTAAAATGCTAAAAGTTGAGGGTGCAGCTCAGTGTGAGGTGCTGGATTAGTTCCCCATAGCAGGGATCAGGGGAAATCACTTTCAACTTTTCATCTCAACTGACTGCACTTTGGACTCTGAGACTCTCACAATGCTATGAAAAATAGTGCATAATTTTTACAAAGCTAGTGTTTTACATGCCCTGTATGACTGAGGGGAGGGATCGTAAGAGGAAGCCAAAATTTTGGATTAAGGTAAGACAACTAAAAATGTGCCAACAGTAATTGTATATGCTTATCCCAAAGCTGGTCTTCAGAGAATATTTTAAGAAATAAAAGAGCTAAATAGTCTTTGACATCTTATTTCAATGCTTTCTAAAAACTATTCATATCATGAACTTTCATCAAAAATCTGTACTTTTTATATCATAGAAAATTAGTCATCAAAAATGAAAACATTAAATGTCTTTCAATCAAACTTCCAAAAATAAAAATATTACATCTGTTTAACTTACCGTATGATAGCCTCTAGGCAAGGGTGGTTTGCCCATAGGATAAGGATCCACAGTGTCAATAATTGTTTGTCTTTCACCTTTTTGGTTGATTTTTCTAAATCTTCTTCGAGACTGTCTATGAGAGGCTTGACGCTGAAAATATTCTTCATTTTCATCCATATAGTCCACCTGAAACACAATTTTCAAGACACTTCATTTTCCAAACATAAAATTCCACAGAAGTATCAGACGCGGAAAGAAACTTCAAGGGAGTCCACACATTCACTTTGCAGACACACAAGCTACCTGGACACACATCAAGTGTCTGAACGCCTCTAAAACAGACTTGTTTTGAGTAACTTGGTTTTTACCAAGAGGCATTTTCGGTTCCACTTAGGACAATATGGGGAACTCTTGAATTTCCTGTAATTTCAAAAGGGAAGGATGTTTTCAGCAGTCTCTGCACTGATTTATCAGGGAAAGATCTCACAGGACACATTACCACACATGTGAAAGCAGCTACTCCATGTGCGTGCAGGTATCTTTAAAGCACATGTGTGTTGGGGCTGGAGGTTTAGCTCAGTGGCATAAGTGCCTGCCTTGCAAGCAGGCAGTCGTGAGTTCGATCCCTGGTACCGATAAAAAGGAAAAAGACAAAAAAAAAAAAAAAAAAAAAAGCACATGTGTGAACATGTGCACACACACACGAGCTGAAAATGTTTTAAAGAAATCCCAAATGAGTCAATCAGGACTGCCAACAGAATGGCTCTAAGAAAATAAAAATATCTTCCTATTTTCATTGTGTATGTCTTTAGTTTTCTTTTTGTTATAGCATTGCTTAAAAAAATTCCTAGAAACTCTGGATGACTGGATTAATAAAAACAAAAGTTGCAACAGGTTATTCTGATCATAAATCAATACCGAATTGAGACTATTCACAGGGAGGCAGGCTTAGCCTCTAAAGCTATACTCAACAAGGGAAACCCTGCAGTTTGTGGAGTATCAACAAACATTAAGTACTAAAAGAATTTTGAAAATCAAAAATCCATCGGATAATTCAAAAAATGGCATTAACAGAGAACAATGCCTAGAATGCTTTAGAAAACTTTGGAAAACTATTTATCTGCCCACATTTCCCCCCAATACTAAATCTTTACTCATCACCATCCTACTTTTTCATTTAAGAATAAATGTTGTCAAATTTTACAGAAACTTTTCAGTAGCTTTGATGAGGAAGCTCTTATTTCTAACAAAATTCCTCTCCTGCATCACTGGGGAAACCCCAAATCTTCTCTGAAAATAATCAGGATTGTTCACCAAAGACTTTCTCGAATGTGAACAAAAACATTCCTCAGTCATCTCCATTACGCTCCTGCCCAGAAGGGTGCTGGGTGAGGAGCAGAGAGGACAACAACATCGATCAGCATCGGGACAGTGAGCCCCACATCTTAATTCTGTCACTGACTTTTTAAAAACAGGGTGCATATTACCATGTCTTAAAACCATGTCTGTTGAGCAAGGAAGACATAGGAAAGATTTTTTTTTAAGTTTTACTAGAAATAATGTCTATTATGGTGTTAGATATAATCTGTACTCATGTATTTTAAAATCTCAACTGAAATATAAACATAACAGCACATTAATCAACTCAGTACTCCAGGTTCCTTCAACTGCATAAAGCAACTCAAGTGATATCCTTATATTATTGCTTGAATACATACCACTGTGATTCACTTCAACTAATTCAAAAATACTATTTCCAATATACATTAAGAGAACTGCAATCCCACAATTCAAAGATCCTCTAAATTTCAATTAAATGGCATTATCGTGATTCAGTTTCAAAGTTAAGAACCAAGCACTGAAGTTCTCATGCTTTTCAACATTCTACTGTCCACACTTAGCTGAGCCCTAGAAATGACTGCACAACTAGAAACTCAAATTCAGAATGAAAGGCTAGGAAACAGGTCTAATGCATGTATGCTTCATCTTATAAAAATACAATAGGCTGCTATAAACACTTTGTGAAAGCACTGTTATTTCATAAAAACTTTCAGGAAAGGGAGAGTCTTTACAGAAATAACTTACCACAATCATTTCAGAAGGCTCTAGAACAATGCACTCACAGCCCCGCCTGAAGCTCCCTGCAGAACGCTTGCCGAAACTACAAAGGGGAAAAAAATTGGTTGAGGACAACCTCAGAGATGTAAGAAATGTGAATTTAACTCAATCCTCCAGAGAAACATAACTATTTTAAAATTACAAAAGGTATACACTGGAGAAAGACAGTGATCTTTAGTCATTGCTAACATAAAATGATAAGGAAATATTCAAATTCTTGTCTCAGTTGTATACTTCTCTGAAAAATTCCGGCATAGTATTTTCAAGTTGATTACAAGTTTTAGAACACTCCAACAGTGATGGGAATGCCCCAAAGATAAACTGTAAAAATGTCCCAAATGTAAAACAAAAGTAATTCTCTTCACTAACTCACTTTTGCTCAGGCTAAGTGTTTCTTTCGCCTAAAAAGTGTGTGTGTGTGTGTGTGTGTGTGTGTGTGTGTGTGTGTGTGTGTGTGTGTTTTAACCACGGGTTGAATTTACAACCTTGAGCTTGCCAGGCTGGCAGCTATCCCTGGCCCATATATTTTAAATTTCAAATCAGCTTTTTCTAAACATTTCAGGGCAAAGGCACCTGAAAACAGTGCTTACTAAACTAGGAAAGGACCCCAGCAATGTGTGCTGTAAAGCTGCCCTTCCTTCTTCCTGGCAGAGCTGCGCAGGAGGTAACCTCCACCCTAAACCCGCCCAGGTGGCACCTGGGTGACCCCTCTGTCCCCCACTCCTTCACAAAGCCGCGAATTCAACTTTGGCACCCAGGAAGGAAGTGACAGGTTTGGTTTAGTTTAGTTTTTTTTTAAACTTGGAGAAAAACAACTGTGTTGCTAATTTCTATTTTAATGTGTTTTATGTATGCATTTTAGTAAATATTTTTAATAAACTTATCTTTAAAAGAAAAAAATTCTCCCAAAGAACTATTTTACTGAGCAATTTCTATGGGAATTCCTGTCACTTCTAGAACTCTGTTGGCATGGTATTATATAATGTTTCACATATCAGAAATGAAATTATGACAAAAAGTCACATTAGAGAAATAAAACAGGAAAACCAACTCTCATTCTATCATGTATGTTCATTAATAAGGAATGCTCACCACTTTCTATGCTAGATTTTATTTGTAAGTTGACCAACTATATTTATCAACTATATCTTTTCCTGTTCAAAAAGTATTTCCATGAAAATCAAAACAAGAAATGAGTAACACATTTGAAAAGTCCTTTTGAAATATTCATATATTCAACTTGGTGTGGTGGCACACCCCTGTAATCCCAGCACCCTGGGAGACTGAAGCAAAAGACTCACAAGTTCCAGCCCAGCTTGGGTTTCTAGTGAGATCTTATTTTAAAAAATAAAAAGGATGGGGGATGTAGCTCAGTGTGAAAGCACAGTCCCTACTACCACCAGAAAAAAAAAAACATATATTGATTCACACATATATGATCATACAAACAAATACTAGAATACATTTCTAAACTAGAAAAATTCTTCCAAAAAAAAAAACAAATACCTTGTAGGTCACACTGCTCCTTGTGAAATTAAAATGACCTGAACTTTTAAATATCCTTCTGTAGGGCTGGGGATATGGCTCAGTGGCAGAGTTCTTTCCTTGCATGCCCAAGGCTCTTAGTTTAATTCCCAGCACAATAAATAGATAAGTATCTTTTTTAAATACAATTAAACCACTAAAATTCCTTAACTCTTTGATTTACCTAAAAATTTGTTTCTAGTTTTTGAGTCTGTTACAATTTAGTTTTTTACAGTGAAGATTATTACATGATATATTACAAACCCATGTGTATAGCAGCAAAATTCCTAACAATTAAATCTTGGAAGCAGCCTTTATGTCCACCAACAGATGAATGGTAAGAGAATATGGTATTGGTACACAACGGAGTACTATTCTGCCACAAAGAAAGATAAACTTGAGTCATTTATAGGAAACTGGATACATCTTGACAACATAAAGTTAAGTAAAATAAATTGGACACAAAGTTAAGTGCCTCATGGTTTGTTTCTCTTATATAAGATATGCAAAATATAAATAAAGAGCAAAATAAAAGAGAACAGGAAGCAGAGTTCTTTAATAGGAAAGGGATCAAAGGATGGACGGGTGAAGTGGAGAGGAGGGGAAGGGAAGGGATGAAAAAGGCACTGGGGTTGATTCTGCACATCACCTTAGTCTATTGTAACACTTAAGAACTAGAAAGAACGCTACACTTGGCAAGACGTACATTTATTTTGGACACTGGTGCCAAGAAACAGAATCGTGTTACAGGCACGAACTATGTACTAACTCCACACAAGGAATGTAGACATAAAGCCACAAACATCTGCTTTAGTAAACAAATAAAAATTTATTAGAAATAAAAATAACCTCAAATGTATTAGTAAAATATACATAATTTATAACAGAACATAAAGTTATAGTAATGTACTGCTCAGTTCAATCAGCAAAATTTACAGTACTATATAAACAAGATGTATCCCCCTCCCAAAAAAAAAAAGACAACGAGGCTCCGTGAACTATACAAAAAAGAGCAGGTGGAAGTCTGAGCAGTGGGTCATAGGTCTGCACAGCACACCCGGATGATAGGTCCCAGCATTCCCTAAACAGGCAGGTCCTTAAAATAAAGATTATCTGTGCAGAAGTCACACTACCATCATCATTTAATTCTGTCACATGACTCCTTAAAACTACACATTATATATTTAAGGTTTATTAATAAATAATATTAAAATCTAAAAAACCATGCATGGGGCAGAGGGTGCACTCCAACACACAGCACACAGTCAACAAGCATGAGGTCCTGGGTTTAATCCCCACAAAATAATTAATAAATGTGAAAACGTATGGGGCCAGGGATTTAGCTCAGCAGCATAAGCGCCTGCCTAGCAAGTGCAAGATCCTGAACTCCAAAAAAAACTGGGTACCCAAAAAAAAGGGAGGTAAAAACTTATGATTGTGAGACTGTGAGAAGTTTTTTTCCCATTAAATCACAAATCTAGACAATTATAAATATTATAATTAAATGGGTACCTTTTTAAATGGAAAAAATGTGTTTATGAATGCATACATGATTCTATAATACTTGAAGCAAAATAAAAACATTCTAGAGAACAGTTGTTTACAAATCTTGGCAAAAAAAGGTGGCAAAGTTTGTATAAAGCAACTATATACAGTAGTTGTTTATTTTATGCCTAATTATTATACCGACTCCCTAGTTTAGGCTGTAAATTCTCTTACCAACTGCCTTTACTTTAGTTTAAAAGAATTTCACAGTCAAGAAACTGTGCTCCAAGTTGTGTTAACACTATCATTTGGGGGATGAAACGTTTACTTCCTTTAAGATGAGCTAGTCACAAAAATTCCCATGGGAGTCTCCTGAGAAGCTAGCGTTGGTAGCAGCTAAGGCACCTTTGAGAGCCATGAATGACTCCAGGTCTCTGGGCCACTGCAAAGACAGAGACGGGAAACCACGGGCTCCCCAGCAGACTGACCTTTCGGGTACACTGAAGGGGGAGCCAAACACCAACAAGGAAAAAGTCTGTGTTTACAGAACACAGAAAGGAAGTGTGCACTGAAGCCAACGCGTCGCCCACAAATGCACACAGCCCGGTCTCAGCAAAGACAGGGCTACAGCACTCCCTGCGGAGGCAGAGTTGATCTACTCAGCTGACACTTGGAGTTACTGGAAGGCAGGGCAGGCTAAGCAAGGGAAAGTGCCAGCCAGAGATTTATCAAGTCAAGGAACACTTGTGCTTCTGCCAGTTACTTCACACAATACATACATAAAGGTAATTCCACACAAATAAACTGAAAAATCCATTTCTGATAAATAAGCGTAGAATCTTTGAAGACATTAGTATAAGTAAGCTGCTTATACAATACAAAAACCCTTAACATTATGGATATGCAGTAAGGAGGAATCAAAACCAAAATTACACATACTCATGCAGAAAACCACTAAAGTATGTAACATGCTGTCATGGTGGAAGTTGCTGACCAGTTATATACACAGAACCAAAATGTTTCCCTCCCCAAATTAAGGGAACCAAGGGACTTTCTATAAGACCAGAGGCATTTCATCAAATTAAAATAACATCACTGGGCATTATTAACAGCAATGAAAGTTGGTGTCACTTAAGTTTCTAAAATAATGAATTAAGGAATTTTTTAAAACTAGGCAATTAAAAAAAATCTCGAGTAGCTTAGAAACATCCTGAAATCCTTTAGGTTTTAAGAAAAATTTGAGTTTATCCCTAAGTCTGGGATTATATTCCATTTCTTGGTAACACTGGTAGGAAAATTCCTCCTACCAAATGCAGCATCCTTGTTACTGTTTTATAATGGACTACATAGTGACATACAGAATTAACACAGTCACTATCAAAGTTTCAACAGATTTCTTAACAGCAGTGGAAAATCCTATCCTCACATTCATACGGAATTTCAAGGGGTCCTAACCAGCCAAGGCAATTTTAAAGTCAAAGGACACACTTCTGCACTTTAATAATTACTACCAAGCTACAGCAATCAAAGCAGTGTGCTATGGCATAAAGGTAAACATGTAGGCTGAAAGAATGAAACCTCGAGTCCAGAAATAAACCTGGGTGTCCACAGTCCAGCAACTTCTGACAGGCACCAAGTCTGCTCACTGCCACAAAAATCTCTTAGCAACAAATGGTGCAGCAATGTCTCAGTTTCCTCCAGGGAAGGATGAAGCTGAATCCTCCATCCCCTTCACATCATAGACAAAATTAACTCAAAATGGATCATTAACTAAACATAAAGCAAAACCATAAAACTCTAGGAGAAAAAAAAAAACAGGCAAATCTTCATGATCTTGGATTTGGCAATGGGTTCTTAGATACATAGCAAAAGGGAAAAAATGGACAAATTAGGTTCCACCAAAACTAAAACTACATCAAAGGACATTATCAAGAAACTGACAACCCAGTGCTGGGGATTTAGCTCAGCGGCATAAGCTGCCTTGCTAGCAGGCGGTCATGAGTTCAATCCCCGGTACCGATAAAAATGAAAAAG